TCGTCGTCGTGCTGTAACCCTTCTCGTCGTTGGTGATCATGCCTCACATACCCTTTGTAGCTCTTAATAAATTTTGTTATCTTTTTGTTATCTCTACCAAACCCTGTTCTATCATCCATTTATCCAAGCTCGCAAGGTAGATTGTTTTCATCTATCCCTCTTGCCTTTAATCTGTCCTGTGTGTGCCAAATTTTCCAAGACCCCTATCCTCGTTATGAACCCTAGAAATCTCAACTGTCTCTTTCTACTATTAAGTAGGTGTCCTTTACCTTTCCTTTTTCTCTAAAACTTCGTCGCTCTTCACATTTGCTTAGCATTTGGAAGTCATTTTTCCCTATTCGAGTGCGCCTCCGGATTTCAGTGACGCAAATCCCGCCAAATTCTGACTGGCCACTTGCTAAATGTTGAGGAAAAAATGTTTGTTTGGCGTACAAACACTTCACACGAAACATTGTGTTTATATCATTCATATTAATTAAGCCAAGAACAATACTTGGTATATATTAAAGTACACTCAAGACACTGACGGAACAGTTGAAGTCAGGCTTATTTACTGTCATCCAAGTCAGTGAACTCTGTTGTAGTTTCACTAAAAATAGTTATAAAAAATGTCTACAGCTTTAGACAATAGAGTAAGCTAAGTGTATATGGTCAGCTATGAAAATAGCAGGACCAATTGAGCTTTCTAGAAATCAGTCTTGGAGAAAGACAGCTCTGAATTCAAAGAGAAGGCAGCAGAACTATTCCCAAGAAGAAAACGAATCCGTAAAGAACAATAACTGTCTATATCTATTTGATTTTTATACCATTACTTCATCATCATCATCATCATCTTATTATTATTTTTGATTTCTGTTGTATACTCATTTCCTTCCGGGTCCCAACCAGGGACCTTACGTCAGAAGTGGCATCATGACATTTTCCTCTAAACATTTTTATAAATAATATTGTTGTGGGACTCTCCCCTTTTTACATAAGATGGACTCGTCCAAAGTATACTTATACTGACAGAAAGAATACCTTCTGTTGAGATACGTTGAGATACAATCCTTGACTGTTAGCAGACGTCTGTCGAACTCTCTGCTTTGCCAGGGAGGAATCCGGTCAAGGCTTTGACGAAGGGCAAGGTTTCGTCCGGGGAGGTAGACAGTCCCTGAACCCGTCTAGGCGGGTTCAAAGGGTATATTTTTGACCGAGCCTACGGGATCGGAGAAACCCACTTTAAACTCGGCCTTGTGCCACGTATATTCCTCGTGGGTGGGATATTAAATACCGAGATACGTTGAGATACGTTGAAAGACACGAAACAGTCACAGGGTGTTCTCAGAGAGTTATACAAGAGTCCAGAGAAAGAGAAATGATTACGGCTTTACTTACAGAGACTTGTACCTATACTTTCTACTAATCCACATTCCTGGACTACTAATCTTCACTTAAAGTCTGTATTCTTACGTTTAATACACTTATTTTTCTATCTCGATTACTGGCGTTGTTTATTTATTTGTGCAGGATTCCATTCACGGAATCCACAACAAATATAAAAATAAAACAACAGCCCTTCGTAAGGTTTGAGCTGTACTTGTGAGGACTTTTCTTTAAGGCATGACAAAATCCAGAGGCGGATATGCAAAGTGATTGACCCTGATCTGGCATCTCATATACAGTCGTTCTCTCTCAGACGTGCCGTCGACTCCCTCTGTCTTTTCTACGAATACTTTCACGGTAACTGCTCCGACGAGCTACTTTCGCTAGTTCCCAGACTGCGTGAATTTAAACGTGCTACTAGGCTGGCATCTCGGTCCCACTGTCGAAACGGTTAAATGTAGCCGTCTCTTCTACTCCAATAGCTTCATGTCTCGCATCTCGCCTCTGTGAAATTCCCTTCCTATTACTTGTTTCCCTGATAGCTAATAATCTCCAACTATTCAAATGTAATGTCAATCGACATTTCCATATGCCTTGATCTATTCCCTCTCCATCTCTTCATCCTTTCCTCTATCACGCCTTTTTAGACTTGCTCCTACTCTCTGTAACCCATTGCGTGCTAGTGGCATCCCGCCTTGCTCGGGGTGAAATGCTTAAAAAACGAGGGTTATCAGGGATCCCTTCAATAAAATCTATCAGAACCTTTTCGAAGACTTCAGCCACAAGTGGAATTATTGATAGCCATATTTTTTAGATTTCCATTTCAATATCCCTGTATTCTGACAGATTTGTTTAGCATCTTCAAAAATGCATTTCAGCCTGCAGGAACTGCCAGATCAATAAGAAAACACATTCTATTTTTGTGGTCTTTGATCACGATGTCTGGGTGATTAACTTTGATTGTTCTGTCCGTGAGCATTTAAAAGTCCTATATCTGTAACCGAATCTGTGTGATGTTCAAACCAATTTCTTGCGTTTTCCCTTCCGTAACAGTTGCAGATTTTCCAGTGCAAATATTGGATCACCCTCTCATGTGGAGTTTTATATTCGGTGGATGATAACACCGTGCAATCTGATAAAAGATGGTCAACCGTTTCTGAATATTCGTCACAGAATCTGCATTTTCGGCTAAGCATCACTTTTCAGTATGTTTGCTAAGTAATTTCTAGTTAACAAGCATTGGTCTTGGGCAACCAGAATAAACCCTTCGGTTTCAGCTTTTAATCCTACACTACGTAACCACTGATGAGTATGGGGTTTGTCTACATGACTTTGTTTTGCACGGGCAGAATATTGACCATGAAGAGGATTATCTTGCCATCGTTTCTGCATTTGGTCTACTGCATTTGCTTTTGCTGTCTTTTTTACTTATTTATTTATTTCCCACAGCAGTAGGTATATTATGGTTTACTTGCTCTTCACCGATTCGTAATTCGCTTTTGAATCTGTTATTATTATTATTATTATTATTACAGTTATTATAATCTCATACATTTTCGTATCCACTCCAGATACATGGTCGTCAGCAAGTTTCTTCGCATTTCCAGCACCCTTCTTACAGTCTCACCCCTACCCTCGTATTTACAACGTCCAATCTCGATTTCCGTGATTTCCGTACGGGTTCCAAGTGCGCATACTACTATGGACACGACTGTATCCATCATTTATTATTATTATTATTATTATTATTATTAAACGCGGTTTATTTACTTGTGTAGATGAATGGAAACGATGTTGAAAAGATTGTGCGAGACACAAATCTCCCGAGCGTGAAGGGTCTTGAAAAATCAGCATTTGAGCTTCTTTTACCTGAATTCGAACACCGATCATTGATGTCGAGAAAGGAAATATACAACTATGAAACCCAGTAAATGGGACTGCTCTTCCTCCTCCATCATCTTCTCCTCTTTTTCTTTCTTCTTCTTCTTCTTCTTCTTCTTCTTCTTCTTATTATTATTATTATTATTATTATTATTATTATAAGGTAGTAATTGTGGTAGTGGAAGATGACGGCTGTTTGCGACTGCTTCTTTGAGATGGTGCGAGATTGCCAATCCCAAGAGACAGTTCCAGAGTGAAGCAAGTCTCGGCTCTGTGACAGGAGGAAAGACAGCCGAGATCTAATTCAGGGCGACAACCCCACCTCCCGACTTGCTCCAACCTCTGCCTTTTCAGCATCCACCCTTTTCCCACCCCAACATCTATTAAACAATCACTTACACATTCAACTACCAAGTGTCACTCTTTCACTTACTCATATTTTCTTTTTCTCACGTTGACATTCATCAACCAACACTCACACTTACACACACACACACACACACACACACACACACACACACACACACAATCACATTAACACATACGCACACAACCATTTTTCTTATTTTTTTAAAATTTCAATCTTCTTCCTGTTTTAATCCATTCTTTCAATTCTGTTCTTTTTATGGCTGTTTTTCTTTCTTTCTTTCTTTCTTTCTTTCTTTCTTTCTTTTCTTAGCTTTTTTTAAATTTTCTTTTCTTTCTTTCTTTCTTTCTTTCTTTCTTTCTTTCTTTCTTTCTTTCTTAGCTTATTCTCGCCTGCTTCTTAAATTTTCTTTCTTCCTTCTTTCTTTCTTAGCTTATTCTCGCCTGCTTCTTAAATTTTCTTTCTTCCTTCTTTCTTTCTTAGCTTATTCTCGCCTGCTTCTTAAATTTTCTTTCTTCCTTCTTTCTTTCTTAGCTTATTCTCGCTGCTTCTTAAATTTTCTTTCTTCCTTCTTTCTTCTTTCTCGCCTGCTTCTAAATTTTTTTTTTTCTTTCTTACTTTTCTTTTGCTTCTTTCCTTTTTTATATTTTTCATTTTTTTTTCTTTTCTTTCTTTTCATTTTTTCTTCTACTTTTTTCTTTTCTTCTTGTATTTCTTTTCCTTTCTCCTCTACCATTCTCTCTCTTTCTTAGTAGTAGTTTCATTATAATTCTTGTTGTTGCAAGTCCAACTGCCTTTTGTCTATATAGCTATTTTCTTTCTTTCTTTCTTTCTTTTTTTCTTTCTTTCTTTTTATCATCTTTGTTCATTCATTCTTTCTTTACTTCATTTGCGCACAAACGCTCGCGCTTGTAGAACATATTGAATTTCTCCGGATTACCCTACAGCCAACAAGAAGAAGCTTAATCCTTGTCCTCCCCATAACCCTAACCCTACGTCGACAGTCCGTGTATACGTATATACACTTCAACTGCATGTAAACACATACGCACACACTTACGGGTTTGCGCGAAAGTAAGGGGTTAGCACCAGAATAGGTTGGCTGAAACTCAAGAGATAATTAGACCGTAAGTAGTGTCAAAACTTAGCAACCGGTCAGTCCATTCGCCGTATCTCATCCGACTCATCGTAAGCATGTCAGTATCGACTGCGATAGCCCGTACCTTGCATACGGCTTTCGTTTCCATCACGACTCAAAACCTTGCACCAGCACCCGCCCCGCTAACCTACCATCGTCCACCTTTTCTTTTTCTTTTTTTTTCTAGCCAAACTAACGCCGCCGACTCCGACGCTTTCAGTCGCTAATGCGCCTCCTCTCTCCTGTCAGTCATTCTTCTCCTTCTACAACCACTCTCCATGTCTTCCCCGTTTTCAACCATCGCCCCCTCTTTCCCCGCCAAAAGAAAATGGCATTAGTTATAAAAGGTGTAGAATTGCAAAGATACATATTGTCAATGCGAGGGGAGAATGCGAATGGCGGGTGGGGAGGAAGTTTGGAGTAAAAGGGAGACGGTGGTGGATTTGTTGGTGGTGTTGGTAAGCAGCTGGGTGGGAGGGACTGATAGACGAGATGCAAGAGGATGAAGGATAAGGAAAAAGGTCTGACATTTTCGTCAACACGACCTCCTACGGCGCTAGTTGAAAACTATGTAAAAAACTAAAGAAAGGAAAGAAAGAAAGAAAAGGGAAAGAAAGAAAGGCGTAGAAAGAAAGAAAGAAAGAAAGAAAGAAAGAAAGAAAGAAAGAAAGAAAGAAAGAAAGACGGAAAGAAAGAAAGAAAGAAATGTGAGGGAAAGAAATGAATGAAAGAAAGGCGGGAAAGAAAGAAATGTGAGAAAGAGAGAGAAAAGAAAAAGAAAGAAAGAAATAATGAATAAATGAATGAAACGGGAGAAAGAAAGAAATCTAAACTGAAAAAAAAAAAATCGAAAACTAAAATAAAAAAGAAATATTAAGAAAAAAGGGAAAGAGCATGGGAAATAGAGAGAGGTAGAAAATAGATAGATAGATAGATAGATAGATAGATAGAGAAAGGGAAAATAGAAAGAAAGAAAGAAAGAAAGAAGGGGAAAAGAACGGTAGAAAAAGAATGAAAACAAAGAAAAACTGTAGAGAAAAAGACAAAATAGGAAAAGAAAAAAATCAGGAAGATATCTGACTGAGTTTTTTGAATGAAATTATTCCATAACCGACTGCTTCAAACGAATGAGCGAGAATTTAAAGTTTGGTTACTTAATTTCCAAAAAATATTTGCGCACATAATTCAAGGCTATTCTTGTATTTTTGATGGAGAGAATTTTAATTCTTAACGAAAAGAAACAAACAGACAAACGGATTGAACCGAAGAAGCTTTATCAAATACTCAGTACTTTTGCAAAATTTAACACCTTTTGATATTTTCTTGTGGCTAAAGACGAAAAGACTAATACATTGATACAAATAAAAGCTAACAGATAAAACAGTAGCTCATTAAAGTACTCCTGTGAGAATGTATGATCGTTAACAAAAAGCACAGCCAATGATTCAAGCTACAAATTGGGGACGTCCGAATCAAGCAAATATATAAATCTAACTATCTGGTAAGTGTTATGAGACGACAGAAAAAGTAATGCAGAAATTCAAATAGCGAATGAGGTGTTCCAAAAGCTAATGTAGGTATTAAGAAACAGTAAAATTTCGTTAGAAGCACAGAAAAATTGCTGAACTGCCGTATAATATATACTATCATATATGGCAGTGATCGCTAGACAAGTTCCTCAAAGATCAGGAGAATATATGAAGCAACAAAAATGTGGTTTTGAAAAAGGATGCTGAGAATACCATGAACTGAATATGTGTGCAACGAGGAAGTTTTAGGGGAAAATGGACACTTATACTTAAAATCCGAAAGAGAGTTAAAATTTATGGGACACATAATGAGGAAAGAGTGTTTGGAGAATCTGACCTTCACATGGCATATTAAAGGCAAAAGGAAACAAAGAGTAACCTACCTAAAGTTTGCGTAAATGGATGCCAAGACATGGCCTGGGCGAGATAGAAAAAACAAGCATGGCTTCGTGTTGCAAAGGAAATTGTGGAGAGACATGATCGCCCACGTCCTGAAAGAATGCAGCACATAAAACAATAACAAATATCTTTTAGTTATTGCTGGGATATTGAGAGAAGCAGTTTGTTTTGGTTTTGGTTTATTTTGTTTTACGGTATATCAACCTCAATGGGTTATTTAATGCCGACAAAAATTTTATTGCTGGTAATATTTTGTTTTGTCAAAAATCTGTTTCTGGTAATATATTTCCTTCAAAATTGTATTGCTGGTAATAATTTTTCCAAAAAGTATTGCTGGTGATAGTTAACTCTATGCCCATAGCTGGGACCTTAACAGGTGCTACCACCCCGGGTCAGGGTGGACCTGGGAACACCAGCAATTAAAAGGTGGTTCCAAGCTCTTCATAACCTACTGATCAGAGGCCTTGCTGCTGGACATAGTTTAACGTCTTGCCCAGGATGCGGCTGTAGTTTAACGTCTTGCCCAGGACGCCAGTGAAGGGTTGGGAGAATTGGTTTAATTTTTGTTCTATTAGCAGAAGAAATTAGCTAGAAAATCGTGTGTAAAGTGAATCTATTGTTACTAACAATGAAGCAAGTATGACAGGTAATAGGATTTGGGCTGAGTTAAGAAAGTAAAATATAAAAGAATGAATTATCGAGATTTTGATCGAAACAGGTACAATATGAAATGTTATTTTCTTTTCTTCTCTAAATTTTTGTGCATTTAGAACTGTCATGTGTTCCATACTTAGAGAATACGTCGAGATAATATATATATATATATATATATATATATATATATATATATATATATATATATTGCTCACGATCATCAGATTCTTTTAAACTATTCGTAGTATCTCAACTAAACTGTTCATATATGACGATAACAAAGAATGATAAGGCTTCCAATAAAATTAAAATTGGCTCGGCAAGTTCTGGTTTTATTTGGTGTCGCTAAACAGCAAACTGGGAGAATACCGAAATGAGTGAATATTTATTATTAAATATAGGATAAGAGCCCGGTCACATTTATCGTTCGATCTTTTAGGATATTCTAATCCTAATGATTGATAACTGATTCCAGCATTGGCTTGGGTAGAAAGAAAAGATATAGCCCCGCAAAACGATTTATTTGTAAGAATCGTTTACATTTGAAACGGAAACACAGGAACTCAAATACTGCAATTAATTGAGAATAAGTTCCATACAAATGATTCCCAATGCCATTTGTATGATGACGATGATGCTTACATATTTCGTATCATCTCCCAGACTAGAGGTTCGAATCCTGATCAAAGTCAGTATTTTAAAATATCCATTCTTTTTCGTTCTTTTTTTTTTCTCTCTAACCGTTGGGATTTTATTTAAAAGATTGACGCTACACGATCTACACTTTTTCCTCATACGTTCCATTTCTAATGATTCTTGTTTAGTGACTACAGTAGTTAGGCATTTTCTATAAGCTCCAGTAATTGAGGATCGTATCCTAGTGAAAATTACCGTTAGGCCCTTATTTAGAAGTTTGGCACACGACTATTTTTCGCACATTTATCCTTGTTCTCGACTAAATATTTGGCACACGAGTTCTCGACTTAATATTTGGCACACGAGTTATAGATTGAGCAAGCACATAAAGACATTCCAAGTGACCTTGCTCCATAATTGTTGCCTTAAGCCATACAAAGCTTAAGTGATCAATTATAAATAAAAAGTGCCCTGCCACCCAAATTGCCATCATAACCAATTCTTGCTCAAATAATCTGAAATTTTAACAAAACGTGTAAAAACTAAATTGACTGTTCTGGCTTATCTCAAACTCCACCAGGAAGATGAATCAGTCGTCCCAGTGATGATAGGAATGTGCTGTTGACCTGACTTGATACCTTGTGAATTTTTTTCTATAGATTTGGAAGAGGCGTTAGGGTTATGTTTTGGTATGCAACGGAACAGCAACCCGAAAATGCTTGTGAATCACTGGCCTAGTGTATTGCCATTAACTTCCTGGTCTGTCGATCCACTGAAAAAAAGACCAGTAGACCTAGCTAGTGGTACTGCCTAAATTCTCCTCCTTTTTATTAACATTTTTATAGATTTATTCCTGGGGTGAGCAGTTTTCCTGATTTATATTACTTAAATGCGGACTTTTGTCTACCACTTTGTTCTTTTCTCACATTGATTTCGGCCGTTGTATTCTCCGGCCTTCTTCAGTGGTCTATCGTTCCAGGTAAGCTTCAGGGAATTTCGAAATGAATCTTTTATTTAATCTACGGGAGTGAATTGTTAGCATCGGTGAGATATTTCACCCTGCTCTTGCTTATTACTGTTCACTTACCGTGTCTAAGTCTGTACGACCCGGCCAGGGATTGAACTCACAATTACAATACCACGAAATTCACAAATAAACGCATTAATTCACACGGGTTGTTAGACGCTTAAAGAAGACCGGCGAACAAAACCGCTTAAATGTTGTGATAAAAACAAGAAAAATGAGGATATTAGTCCGAATGTAATTAATTTTACAGATTAATTTAGTTTCTAATATCTTGCTTGTTCTTCGGACATACGCCTTTCTTATTTTAACCACTTCTGTTTTATCGAAGCAGTTGTGTTATTGTAACAAGGATGATTAGGTGAAAACAGCTATTTATTATTATTATTATTATTATTATTATTATTATTATTATTATTATTATTATCAATTGAAAAGATTACTGTTCCAATTTTGACTGCGGGTCATGTTTTACTAATCTTCTTATCCCCTTTCGCAATCTCAATTGAAGAAGTCGGCTGATTTCCTGTAATGTATGTGTTTCGAATTGTAGGAGTCAAAGCCTGCAATAAGAAAATGATATACATAAATGCATTTGCTTTGATTCGTATGAATTATTGAAGTTGAAATGCGCCAAGCCTCGCAGATAACCAGACATTCTACCACATCTGGAGACATACAACAATTCTTCTGCAATATTATGCACGTGTCATTACTTTCCCTTTTGAATTAAACTTCTCTCTCACTCTCTTTCTCTCTCTCTCTCTCTCTCTCTCTACCTATACTCATTTTGGGCTATCTTTTTCTTTATATATTATATATATATATATATATATATATATATATATATATATATATATATGTTGATGCATGTTTCATTAAATAGTATAGACAGGTTTTGTCTATTTATTTTAAGTAAGTTCCTTTCATATTGTCTGATAAACTTAATAACGTTATCATTGAAAGACGAAAGGAAATCACCATATTGATACATGTTTTAATCCTATCTAATCTTTCGGTTTACATTTCACTATATTAAACAATACACCGACAAAACAATAATGATAGTCTGTTTTTGTTTACATGGAAGATTTCCAAGCAACGATAAACTCGTGTATACGAGACGCAGAAGCGAAAATCGCATCGGAGCTCGTGACGTCACACATGACTACGCGAGAGTGAAAACGAGAAGTATTATGTATGGGAAGCCGTTGGTATAAACCAATGGTTTCTGTTATCAATTATAGGCATTTAAGAATATTTGTGGAGATTTCATAGTTTATTTTGTTCAGGTTAGGTTTCAACTTTTATGTATATAGCTTCAAGAATTTTTAGTTTTGTTTTATATATGTACAAAGAGTAAGAATAAAAGCTAAAGCTTAAAATAAATTGAAAGTAGAAAGCTTAAAATCTAAAATAAATTGAGGGCTCAATGCCAAATTCGATAGAAACTAAATATAATATATTAATATTATCAATACCAAAATTTATATTATCGTAAAGGAACTTTTTGGTAATTCTTTAATCCACTCTTCAGGAAGTTTCAGCAATTTAGATTAGTATTCTCGGTTATTTCTATCTTATATTCTCTCTGCTGTTTGATTTTTTCTTACTAACTTTTCTGTGTTATTGCATGTTTTAAACTTCCTTTCTATTCTATAAGTAGTTATGCTTTGTTGGTTTGAGTAAGTTTAGTAATTCGGTACACACACAAACAGGTGCACACCAGCGAACGCACAGACGGGCGCATGGCCGCACGCGCGTAAACGCGCACATGAAAACAAATAATACGAAACAAAACAAGAAAAAAATTACACCAATTGCTGACACTCTCTAAAGAGTAGACGGACAGTTCTGTTTACGATTCTGTGGCCGGGATACTGAACGTAACATCAATCATCTAAGTGACAAACTTTTAGTTTCATTATATATATATATATATATATATATATATATATATATATATATATATATAGGATGGTCTGCTTAATTTTGTTTTCTATTTTTCCAAAAGTTTTCCTCGCTTGGTCAGCTACCTACATAAAATTTTGTAGTTGATAAATATGCCCCTTTAAGAAACTGCTAAATAAGTTAACCGTTTGAAAAAAGGACACACACCCCCCCCCAAAAAAAAACGAGCATATAACTAGTTAGCATTATGTTAAATTATCTCTTCACCTCTTTCGCTTTTATTTCTTTGGAACGTTGAACTCCAGACTTCTACGCATCTTACGAAATAATGTAATCATCTATATGTATCCATAATGACATTATCGAGGATTTACACGCAGACAACTTAGTGTCATGACCTATATAATAAAATATTTGTTCAGTAAGTTTGAATTTAGCGTAGGCCACATTCGATTGGTTAATCACGGTAAAGCCAACAAGCCTATTTGTAATTGTGTTTATTCTTCCTCGAGAAAATAGAGAATATATTCTGCTTTTTGTAATTAAAATAATCGTTCATTCGTCAGTAGTTTACCATCACCCGAGGAGACATATTTGTAGTGTTGAAACATAACTGTAACTGTGTAGCGATTTTTAACATGTTTTTGTTTTAATATCCTAAAATAAATTATATATATATATATATATATATATATATATATATATATATATTTCTTCTAGAATGCAAGATATTTTAAACCCAAACTCTTTTTATGTATAACTAAGTTTTTTTTAAGAACATATGTTCCAAAATAACCATCCCTGCATGAAAGACGATAATTGTTTTATTTATATTTATCCATAATAGGCTCTCAGATTAGCGTCCCAGCTTTTTGGCGAGTGAATTTAGTTCCGAAATTAATGCTCTACTATTATGCTAGTTTTAGCTAAGTATTGTACATACAAAAAGAACAAAAACAAGTGTTCTCGTATTTACGTAAGTACAGACAGTTTATATATATATATATATATATATATATATATATATATATATATATATATATACCAGATGTGTCTGAAGATTTTTATATATATATATATATATATATATATATATATATATATATATATATACCACATGTAACAGAAAAAGTGTCCAAATCGTGTTACTGCATAATTGTCCATCCTCAAAATGTTTAATATCTAAAAAAAAAAAAAAAAAAATACTAAACCAATTGGGGTTCTTTTTTCCGGTTTTCAGATAAAACGTTTATCCATCTTGACACCATTTAACGTAAGAATCACTGGAGAAAAAAAAAATTGTGTTATTCAGCTAGAAATAGAATAGATTTAAATAATTTTTTGTCAGCCCTACTGTCTTCTCCACTGAGCAATGGTGAGAGGAAAAAGATCATTCAGGCGTTCAGTAATGGTACCAACATTCATACTCTGCCTTCCATCTTCAACGTCCATTCGTGAACCATCAAGAATAAGAGGGAACAGTAGAGAGGTAAACTGGATCACGAGGTCAAAACAGGAAGAGAGAACATTATTTTAACTCAGTGCTAAAGAGAGCAATTAGAAAAGATCCAACTCAATCCATAAGACGTTTGGCACATGAGAGAGGAATTTTAGCTATGACAGAAGAACAGTGAATAAAGACTTGAAAATGAAATCGTACATGAAATGTGCAAGACGTCTTGTTACTACAGGACAGAAAGTTAGAAGGTTGGAGAGGACGAAGGTCATCTTGAATAAGTTGAAAATTATCCCGAATATATATATATATATATATATATATATATATATATATATATATTCTGTCTATATTCCTGAGATGAGGTATTATGTACATTATTTACATTATTCGGACTATTGTCCTCATCTTTGTCGCCATATTTATCACAACGTTTCGGCCGTTGTACGCTCCGGCCTTCTTCAGGTGGTTGGAATGTCGAACTGAACCCTTTATTTCGCTCACTGGGGTAGACTGTTCTAGTTCCATGTTTGATGTGTCCTCAAGGATACATGGCACAGTGGATAAAGGCGTTGGTTAGATCCAGTGACAAGACCCAAAGACTGTGAGTTCAATAACCGGTTGAGGCAGTGGAGAACTTTCAGAGGGAAAATTAACAGGAGATAACTGATAGCTGACATCCATCAATGTGTGTGTGTGTGTGTGAGAGAGAGAGAGAGAGAGAGAGAGAGAATTTGAGAATCTTTTATGGATAAATATAAATAAAGCAATTGTTGTCTTTCATACGGTGAAGGTTATTTTGGAATATATGTTCTTAAAATACTTACATTTATGCATAAAAAAAGTTAGGTGAAAAAATAAAACTTGCATTCTAGAAATATATATTCAACTCCGAAATCATATCAAGCATTAGATTAGGCAAAGACGCGTTCTAAAAACTAAGCAAAGTACTAAGAATTAGAAAGATTTCGTTAGAAACTAAGGAAAGAGTGCTGAACTGTTATGGAATATTGGTCCCCCTATATGGCAGTGAACGCTGGACAATTTTCTTAAAGATGAAGAAGAGACTTGAAGCAAGATAAATGTGGTTCTATAGAAGGATTCTGAGATAGCGTGGACCGAATATGTGAGCAATGAGGCGGTTATAGAGAAAATGGAAACTGATTCTTCACCCCAGGTAGAGAAAAATCTGTTACTCACAGGACAGACTTAGGGCAAGAAAAAAAAATGGAAAAGAGAAGATGGATAGCAGAACAGGATTTAGAAATAACGAAATTTATTTAGATCTGCACGGGACAGGAAATTGTAGAGAGCCATGATCGCCTGAGAGGACACGGCACATAAAGAGAGAGAGAGAGAGAGAGAGAGAAAGAGAGAGAGAATCTGAGAAAGAGAAAATGCATACGTTTTGTAAATATCATTAACCACAGTTTACTAAAGAAAAGGAAATATCAGCGTACTGACTTAGAGAAGCGGGTATGCAGTTTCAGTTGTTGGTGAGTCTTTCGATCTCTAGACCTTTCCTTTCCTTCTTTAAGGATAAAGAGTCATCCTGAGTAAGACGTTAAACTACATCCGCGTCCTGGGTAAGACGTTAAACTACGTCCAGCAGCAAGGTCTCTGATCAAGAGGTTTTGAGGAGCGTGGAACCACCTCTTAATTGCTGGTGTTCCCAGGTCCACCCTGACCCGAGGTGGTAGCACCTGTTAGGGTCACAGCTATGGGCAAATAATTAACTATTATCAGCAATACTTTTTGAAAAAAAAATATTACCAGCAATACAATTTTGAAGGAAATATATTACCAGAAACAGATTTTTGACAAAACAAAATATTACCAGCAATAAAACATTTTGTCGGCATTAAATAACCTATTGAGGTTGATATGCCGTAAAACAAAATGAACCAAACCAATCTAAACGAAAGAATACATATTCTATTCCTACGAATCTATCCTAAAAATGTTGTCGGCATTAAATAACACATTGAGGTTGATATGCCGTAAAAAATAAAAAACCAAAAACCAAAGAGTACATATTCTATTCAACGAATCTATCCTAAAAATGTTGTTTGCATTAAATAACTCATTGAGGTTATGCCGTAAAACAAAATAAACAAACCAATCTAAACCAAAATCATATTCTATTCATACGAATCTATCCTAAAAATGTTGTCGGCATTAAATAACCCATTGAGTTTGATATTCTGTTAAACAAAATAAACCAAACTAAACTTTAAGGATAAAGAGAGTCGCTTGGCATAGATATATGTCTACGAGAAAAGAAATTGCTGAAATGTAATATCAATCCTCTTCTACGGCAATGAACGCTGGTCATTTTCCTTACAGATGAAAAGTAGACTTGAGACAATAGATATTTGGTTCTACAGAAGGATGCTGAAGATACTAACAAAAACGTTTTAAGGAAAACAGAAAGAAGATCAATAATTTATACATAATCGATGACATAATAGAAAAGATAGTAAAACGAGAGATGCTGGTAAGGGCTGAAAAGGAGAGGCAATTAGGGACAGTCTTGATCACTCACGTTTATAGAAGAAATTCTCTGCTTATGGAATTAAAATCGATCTAAAATAAAACATAAACTAAAACGAGAAAGCAAAGGCAAAGAAAAATGAGGTAATAAAAGGAGGAATAAAGCAACCATAGTTTATTGGGTGCTAAGCAAAACTAATTTCACTTGTTTAACGTAATGTATTTTTTTATCATTTTGTTTTCGCTTCGCCGTTGGATGCCATGAAAGGTTCAATTGGTTATTTCGTAAGTAATTGAAATCACAAATTGTTTCTCTGTCAAATAGCAGTCTTTGTATTGAACGGGAACACGGCAATAGAAGTAAAAAAAATAAAGGCTACTTATCTGACTATATATCTGAGATGAGGTATTACGTACACTATTTACATTGTTCAGACTATCGTCCTCATCTTTGTTGCCATATTTATCACAACGTTTCGGCCGTTGTACGCTCCGGCCTTCTTCAGGTAGTTGGAATGTCGAGCGAGAGATGCTGGTATTTCGCTCGCTGGAATAGACCGTTCTAGTTTCACGTGCCATGTCTAATAGATGTCAGTTATCAGTTATCTCCTGTTAATTCCCCTCTCCAAGTTCTCCACCGCCTTAACCAGGTATTGAACTCACACTCTTTGGCTCCTGTCATTGGATCTAACTATCGCCTTTATCCATTGTGCCATGTATCCTTGAATTTCTGGGTATTATAAACCTAATGTCTTCAGCCAACTATTTTTACCAGTGCTCATATTGCAATTTTCGTTGTTATTATTGCTGGCACTCCTTATTACTGATTCCCATATTGTATTCATTTCTATGCTTGGTCGGCTCAGCGAGCGAAATAAAGTGTTCAATTCGACATTCCAACCACCTGAAGAAGTCCGGAGCGTACAACGACCGAAACGTTGTGATAAATATGGCAACAAAGATGAGGATGATAGTCCGAACAATGTTAATAGTAAAGGCTCCTTACTAATAAAGATACACGTACAGAAATTAACATATATATATCCCAAGTTTTGACGTACGTATGTGGCAACCAAACCAATGAGAATCGAACTTACTGCAAATATCGAAAATTCTAGCTAGTTAACCATTACTCCACCTCGAGGTAGCCAAGATATTTGCCACGCGTAGCTTAATTCTGATAATGATCTGCGAATACATCTTGTTAAAAATCGCAAGACGATGTGTTGCACAAGATCACAGCTAGGATTAACCCTGTGTGGATTGTGCTCACTACTTAATAGTAATGGTCAATCAGACTAGCTCGTTAACCATTACTCCACCTGACGGTGCTCTTTAACTAATTCTGGTTGCGTATCGCTAAGTCAGTATCACTTACACTTTTCTAGAAAAATGGTATATGTCAAAATATTATATCTGAGGGCAGATGTTACATCTGTTTCGTCGGCTGCCATCTTTTGAGAATTATTTGACCTATTTGTAGTCCAAGTTATTTCAGTGTAACCAAATTACGTTTGTAATTTAAATTGTTTACCGAATATTGTTGGTATAAAGACTTGTACATTGAAATGTTAAATTTATTACAACTTTTATTTCCAATGCTATTTTAAATACATTGAGAATGCTTTTCTATAAACGATGTTAGATTTTATTATACAAAATACTGTTTTCTTATGTTTTTGTATTAGTTTCTCAATGTATCAAAGATGCACGTTCCATGTTGCAATCACTCGAGCAAGCAGCGAAGCATGTAGGTCTCTATTGCATCGCGAGTAAGACAGAGTCTATCACAACCTTCCATGAACCATCCGAATTGAAGTTAATCAATAATAAATCCATCAAAAGAGTTGCGGACTTCAAATATTTTGCATCTCACATAACAGATCCTCAAAAAGGCTTCAACATCCGCGAAGCTCTTGCATGGGATGCGTGGAACAAACTTCACAAGATTTGGCGTTCGAACCTTTCAGCCTCTTTAAAAGTCCAAACATTTCGAACATCGATTGACTATATAGATGAGAAACTTGGGCATTATCCGTTCGTCTTGAAAGGCGACTGGATGGAATATATACAAATCTACTTAGAAAAATTCAGAACATCAGTTGGAGATCCCATGCAACGCTTAACACAGTATACCAAAAACTGAGACCAATCTCACTTTAGTTCAAACAAAAACGATTACAGTATGCTGGCCGCTGCCACTGAGCGAACAGGTAAATCGTCTCATCCTTATTCCTATGTCGACCTTCTGGAGGTGTCTTCTCGCGAAAGTTGACTCCCAGATACCATGGCTCGGGTTGTACATTGTGGATCTTGGGATGGTAATTTAGGACCGAGCAGTGTAGAAAGGGATTGTCAATGGTGTTCCGACCAACTACAGCTTGAAGAATGATGATGATGTTTTTTTATCAACTGATTTTGATAAAATTTTCGAAATATGCGTATATTTCTATGTGTATAGGAATTTATGTTTATAATCTCTATTCTTATTCCTATATTTATAATAACTTATTTTGAGTGGTAGTATATCAATACAATGTCAATCGCTATCTTCTGCCTTCTTAATCATTCATCATGATAGGTGAATATTCAGACGCTAATTCTGTATACTTATTTAGACGCCATTAGAAACTTGTATCCCGCAATTGTATCCAAAAACATTACTCAGTTTTCCTTTTATTCTCTTCTAAGTTGCCTTACTTGACCATTTCCATTAAAGCATTCTGTAGGTGACTATTTTCGCCAAGCAAAATATTAATCCCGCCAATGCAAGTTGAATTTGAATTTCTTAGTTGTGTACTCTTATCCTACTATGGCAACACCTAAAACAATCTTGACTGAAATTGGAAGCCAGGATACTGCAATTTCAAATATATAAAACTAATATATTAAATACTATATCTTGAGAGGATTCCATATACAGTAAAGAGGGAAGTAATATTTATAAATGATGCAGGGTGCTAAATGTTAAGAGTCCAGTTCCATCTCCAAAAAAAAAAAATTGTAATCTATCATTAAAAGTTATGTATATGGAGAGGAAAATCAATATTCAAATAAAGATCTCTGATAAGCAATAAAAATATGTTTCTCTAATAATAATAATTCAAAGAACATCTCTATTGTTTACCCAACCACTATCTTATCTCGCCGATTAACATGCCATTTATCTTATAGTAGTTCAATTAAACCGCATTTCACTATCTTAACTCATATTAAATTCGAAACACTGAAAAAGTTAACAAACGAATACATTTTTGGCAAGAGTGCTAATAATAGTCTGATATTGCATCCAACCTCATTCCGATAACTTCTGTGAAGACACATGTGCTAAATAGCATTGGTCTTTGGCCTTACTTCATAAAATATCTGTGGCATGAAAAGGAGGAGATGCGTTGCATGGGCTAATATCGACTCCCGGAAAAAAAATCGTACTGAGGTTTTCGCCTAGAAGAGGTCACTCCATTGTCACCACCTTTGCTCAATTAAAAAAAAAAAAAAAAAAAAGAAAAACGCTCTCTGTTAAAATCAGTTGATTTAAAAAAAAAAAAAAAAAAAAAGCCGTTTGCCAGTTTCCGGTTCATGGTTTTTCAAATCATATGCTTCGTCAAGCAATAAAAAAAGAATAATGATAGAATTTTTGAATTATCAAAAGACAATGGTTCCTTAAGATGTTTATTATTTTTCAAAGATTTGTGTGTATGATACGATGTTATCGGCAACTTGGTTAAAATGTTTAAACCCTTATCTCTCTGAATTCAAGTATAGACTTAATTAGTAATCTATACCTTTTCGTATCTTTTACCAATTCCTTTCTTTCTTTGTAGTTTTTCATACGAGTGTGTTCTGTTATTTTTTTCTAGTGATTCTTATTTTAATTCGTCCAGGCTTCTTATTATTAGTTACTTTATCCATTAGATTTTCGTTTTCTCTATTTCTTTGTCTCTTTTCTTTTCTCTTCTCTTTCTCTCTAATGGCCTCACTATGTCGATACGAGGAATCTCATTCCTTTCTCTTTATTTCTTTCGTCATCCTTCAATTTCCTGTCTTTTGTTTTCCGCTCCATCCCTTTGCATATATATATATATATATATATATATATATATATATATATATATATATATATATATATATTCTTTTTTGTGAGATAGGAAGATACGATTTGCTATTTTTTTTTTTTTTTGATGGAGTGGGGTACAAGTGAATACTTTTGCTTATTTTTCACTGTCGTGCTCAAAAGGATGTAAGATGAAAAATGTCTGCTTTCCACAGCGTGCATCCCAATCGTTTATCGCTTTGACACGACACTCTAGGTGCCGGGGGCCGAATGCAACCCGACACTCTTAAGCGTCGAAGGCCGAATCCCCGTCTAATTCTCTGGCACTTTGCTTCTTTTTTCTTTTTATTATTATTATTATTATTATTATTATTATTATTATTAAGAATTAAAACAAAGGATTTTTAGGAATTTTCCAGATAATTCTAAGTCTGGTTTTGATATTTAATCTCCTTGAATTTAACCTGTTGACCTCGCCTTAAGCTTTCACTGAATTATACTTTTTTTTACATAGCCGTCTCTTATATTGTTTTAAAACATGCACTATTTTTTTTTGAAGGAATATCATCAATAATATCAATGAGATTTTAAGGAAATGCCATCCTTTTTGTAGGTGTCGATTCCCCCAAGGCAAAAAGCAAAATAAATGGGGGGTTTTTTGTCTTTTTTCTGGATAATATATGGTAATATATAAAGAAACATTCGACATTTATTGACGGAGCAACCAGTGCTGCCATCGGTTGAAATTTTTCAGATTGTATCGTTGGGGGAAGCGGAAGTATGTCCGACAAAACAACGGTTCGTGGGAAAGAAACATAGTAAAAGTGGAATTTTCTGGTTAAAATTGGAATACGAGACGGACGCAAGATGGTGGGCCTTTGAAGTAAAAGTCTGAATTGGTAGAACGAAGGAATAGGAATCGACCAAACGACTGCCATGAAAATCGACATAGATAAGGGACAGTCTTGTGACGTTGATTCTGTAGAAAGTAGGCTGCAGGGTAGAAGATAGCTCATCCCACACAGTGAAGGAGAGAAACTAAGAAAAGCTGAGTGTATGCACTGAAGGGTCCCCGTATTTTCTTTTTTCTTCGGAGGTGGAGGTACGGGGCATTCAGTTTCAGCGACAGTTGAGGGTCTCCGGATATAGATACATTGAAGGGAAAAGTGAGAAAGTGCGGAATGAAGTAAGTTGTTAAAGACTATCGAAAGGCCGAAAGGGGTTTATTGAGGTGCGGTGAGAAGACGTAATGAGTTGGAAGAAAATTAGACGTCGGTAAGTAAAAGTCGCAATCTAATAAGGGCGACTTTGACATATTGTGTGGTTGGAGAAGTGACGGCAGCAGCCACCACGCACGCCACCTCCAATAGACGCCGGCGGCCTTCATGAAGCGACCTTATTAGAACTGACCACCTACCCTGCTTTACTACGCTTTCGCTTACTTCTCTGTTTAAATATTATCTATCTATCTATCTATCTATCTATCTATCTATCTATCTATCTAATTCTGTTCATATATATCTATCTGTACATATCTATCATATCTGTACATATCTATCTCAATCTGTACATATCCGTCTCATTCTGTTCAAATCTATCTATTTATCCATCTAACTCATTCTATTCATATCTATCTATCTATCTATCTATCTATCTATCTATCTATCTATCTATCTATCTATCTCATTCTGTTCATATCTATCCATCTATCTATCTATCTATTTATCTAAATCTTTACATATCTATCTCATTCTGTTCATATCTATCTATCTCATTCTGTTCATATCTATCTATCTATCTATCTATCTATCTATCTATCTATCTATTTATGTATCTAAATCTTTACATATCTATCTCATTCTGTTCATATCTATCTATCTCATTCTGTTCATATCTATCTATCTATCTATCTATCTATCTATCTATCTATCTATTTATGTATCTAAATCTTTACATATCTATCTCATTCTGTTCATATCTATCTATCTCATTCTGTTCATATCTATCTATCTATCTATCTATCTATCTATCTATTTATATCTAA